CAATTTTTGTTTTTTGTTGCTTCTTATTTGTTTTTGTTTTGTTTTTTCTTGTTATTAGACTTTCCAAAATCCTTGTGTTGTTTTCAAGGAAAAAAGCTATCGAAGACGGTAGTCACCTGCTTGATTCCAAACCACAGGATTACGTGGATGCTTTCATTCTTAGAATGAGAGAAGATGCTAAGAATGGCATCGAAGACACAACTTTCGAGTGAGTTACGTTTCGTTCTTCAGATAAATGCTCCAGTTCTCGGTATATAGCCATCAGAAAGCTAGCACGTATTGAAAACCTGATAACCACCTTGCGGTCCCTTACCCAGCACTCATTCATTTTGTAAGTCTTTCAGTTGTTGTGTGCCTTACGAGGTTGATAGGTGGAACATTTATTAATGGCCTAACGTTTCGACCCAATCGTCGTCTTCAGAGGCCTGAACATGTTTCAAGTTTTAGATTCGCAACCTACCCCACCAAGCGCCTCGTCGAATCTAGCGGTTCCGACGTAGTGTCGGGAACCCTTCGAAAAGACGCCACTACTGCAAGAAACAGGCTCACCAGTTGTTCCACCCTTTGAGCGGATAAGTCCGCACGACCACAACCAGCAGATGCCTGTTAGCGTAAGAGAAATGGAAGATACCTACATTGTCTCCATGTTGATGACAATATCGTTGGCGAGGACGTACGTCGACGCATGCTCTGTCATTTTACAGTCCGCAGTGGGGTATAAACGGTAGTAGGTCACTGGTGATGGAAGGACACTCATCTCGATTGTTCATTCTGGGTTTCCTAGTGAATATCCAGAATGCTTCTAACGCTTTTCTAGCTGAAAGTTCCGTCTCATTTGCCAGCACACTGCACTTTATTTCGAATTCCAACCCATTGTGTTCAGCAACTTGTGCCTCCAAGCAGCGTTGTAAGAGTACCACGCCTCATGCTAGCAAGGTGTCTCCTTGATGCGAATTGCCAAGACCCTTCCTGTTTCCCCTATATATGTAGAGTTACATTCCCGACACTGGATTTCATATATTACTCCCAGTTGCGCACAGTCACCAACCTTCCCGTGTGGGCATGTAACACAATTCTCTGATATGCACTGCTTGTCGTAGAGCCTATTACGAACCAGCTGCTTTTTGATGTTCTCGTTTGGTATATTCACTAACTGAACATCGTCCTGCAACTGGGCCCTACTAGGCTCGTTTTATTGCAGGCGCTGACCTTATCGGATATGAAATTGCTGGATCAAACCTTTCGTCAACCTGCTTTCTAAGAAATTCCTTAATAGCAAAATTTGGTGCCAACACTTCCGTTTTCCATTTTTCGTTTATGTACGGGATTTTGAACATCCATCGTTTTGCAAACGTATCGGCTATGGAAAGATTGTTCATGGATTTGTCCAGTTGCTTTTTCAATTTGAGAAATGACTCCTCATCAGCCTAAGCCATGTCGACGAGCTTTTCAGAGTTATGAAGAGATTTCGACACAATTCGTTCAACATATTTTCTAAAAGTACCTCACTGAGTTGGACAGAAAATAAGATCCGGTTGATGATGCTTCCAATAAGATTATCGTAGAACTCGTTGACCAACGACAGCTGATCCAGGGGGCAACTGATCTATCTGGCCAATTCTGAAAAACTATGAGTTCAAATTTTTGAAGCATTTCAGTCGGATGTTCGGATTCATTTCGCATGTTTCCTGGTTTACGTGACTCCTTGAACTTTTTGCATGGTCCTGTTGCGAAGCCAGCAAACGCAGACAGATGGAGGTCAGCGCCTGCTAAGGCATCCAGACGTACTAGAAACCGTCGCGAGCCAGAACACGAGTCTTTCCAAGGGGAGGAGCTCCGGGGTGGATGAGCCACTTATCATACGTGAAAAGCTGGAACGCAAAATCACAATGACCATAGAGAGCTACGCGGACGAGAGAGAGAAAAATACAAATCCGACGCGTTCAAAAAAATCGAGTTCAAGCTGTCCAGTTAGTACATATGAAACAAGAGAAACTACGAAAGTACTCTCAGACTCTTAGAAGGCAATACGACCCCTTCCCCATTGACCGAATAAGACCCCCTGTTGAGGAATTCCCAACGATGATGTGCCCTGGATGGCACAGCTGAGAGTGACCGGTGGGACTACAGAAATTCATCACCACAACGATCTGAGCACAATCAAAATATGAAGTGAGCTGAGGAAGGTTGGGCTCAGAAAAGTCGTTTGTCAAAAAACGTGAAATATAAATTAGTATAACTCAGCTTTAACAAAATGACAGTTCGAAAAAAATCGGCAACCAATGCATTGTCAACGAGAAGCAAGCTTCATCAGGCGGTACCTCAAAAGTCTGGAGTTTTGGAAGCGACGAAGTCATTGAAAGCAGTTTCTACATCATCGTGGTTTCTGAATTGTTTCTCCCGCAAGAAGTTGTCAAGATGCTTGAAGAGTGAAGTCAGGGGGCGAAAGATCTGGCGAGTACGGTGGATGATCCAGAGTTTCATAGTTCACCTTGAGGTGCTGAGACGTGGGGTATAGCGTTGACATGAAGTAGATTGCCCTTTTTTGTTTAATGACGGATATTTACTTCGCAGTTGCTGGTGCATTTTGTCGATTTCCTTACAGTACTTTTCCGCTGTGATCGTCTCACACGAGTTCAGAAAGGCGTAGTGGATCATTGTCCCTCTAGACCACGAATCGTGACCATATTCCGATGAAATCGTGAAGCTTTTTCTCTGTACAGCCACCGGGTAGATCGTAGCCTTTTATCGTAGGCTGTCCATTTCCCATCGCAAGCCACAATCCGTTCGAGAAAATAACCAATTAAACTGTTTAAAAAAATGAGCCGACGACAGCGACTTTTCCAGCTCTCGGTCAGTTCACGCGGAACTCACTTGTCAAGCTTCTCAGTCATCCCAATTTGCTTCACACTGTAGTATGATCGACTTTGAGCTGAGCTCAATTTCTCGCGTGGTTTTCTGCAGATCAGCTCCGATTAACGCTCTCAATAAGTGGTGGTAGACGGCCGCCATGTTGTTCGTCTTTGAGGCTGATATTGCCAGCACGTAACTTTTGGAACCAACGGTGCACTGTGCATTCGTTGACACTTTCCTGACTCCATACCTCCTTGATATTTCGAGAGGTTTGAGCGGCCCAGTTTGAACTCAGCGCAGTAGAAGCTGGACGACTATAAGGGGATCGCTACTTACCGCGTTAGGCAACAGTCATGAGGACAAACGAGAGCCTAGGATGAACAACCGAGATGAGCGTCCGTCAATAACCAATGAACTTTCGCCGTTTATACCGTACTGCGAGTTATAGTAGCCGGTGATACGTGCGTCTCCTCAACCTTATACGTATAAGGAGACGCTAGAGTAAGCCTCATTTGCTACTGACTCATCCTCATGTGACGGCGGATTCACGGTGGAGTTCTGGTAAGTGCACATCCCATCTCCTTAACTCGAAACACGTTTAGGCCTCTGAAGAAGACGACCCTGTCGAAACGTTAGGCCGTTGAATAAAGATTCCACCTAAAAACCTCAAGAGGCATAGCAATACTAACGAATTTAACAACGATGCCGAGGTTACAGCAAGAGAGAAGCTGGAGAATACAAAGGAGAGTGTTGGCATCGCTCACCTATGGTTAAATTCGTCCATGATACGTTCTTCTATCAGATTCTTACCCATTCCAAGGTTTCTCAGCACCTGAAGAGAGAATCGTCTCTGTTCTTGCCAGATGCGTCCATTTGAGAAAATCACACCACGGTCACCTTAGCAGATATTAGATGAGCTCATATATGAAATATGTATTAAATTGGCGGGGAAGTTCTGTCACTTTTCTCAAACCTATCATATCAGTCCTTAGATCGATAGCGTCCAATCGATAATATCAGCCGTAATAGCCAAGGTAATGCTACTTCTAATAGTAATGCCCGCTTCATTTTTTACTCCCCTTTTACAGAATGGAGAACGAGTTTGTACCGGACCGTGAGCACCTGCGCCACCTCATACTTTTTTCTTCCACTGACAATGCCAGACCGCACACTGCAAGAAGTGTCAAATCGGAGCTGGTGCAATATGGCTGGACAGTTCTCCCTCATCCCCCGTACAGCCCAGACCTTGCTCCTTCCGATTATTGGTTATTCTCCGACCTAACCCGTTACCTGGATGGGAAGAAGTTCAAAACCCGCGCCCAGATCGAAGTCGAGTTGACATCGTATTTTGCCTCGCGCGAAGCTGAGTTCTGGAGGGATGGTATCCATAAACTGCCTGGACGTTGGCAAGAAGTAGTCGAACGCAACGGTGAATACATTTAATCTCATATGTTTCTCTAGAGTAATAAATATTCTTTTAAAAAAGTGACGGAACTTCCCCAGCAACATAATAATTGTGAATGTTATGGGCACACCTCTATTTTCGAGCAGTATCGCTGGAGTAAAGCGATCCTGATAGTTGGCTCCGTAATGAACCATTGCTTCATGGCTAAGCTTGTAGTCGGCGATGTGTACCGAAGGCATTGGTCCAATCCATATTGTGAATACAGGACCGTATTTCTAGAGAAGCGCTGTTAAATTTCCAAACATGTGCGCAGTTCGGCCTAGTGGGACATTTTACTGGTTCTCGACGATTACTCTCCTGCGGAGACTGTAAAGCTATGCAGTAGCTTGAACCTCTCAACACTTCCCAAGGAGTCTAAAAGTATTACTAATGTGTCGAACTGTAAGATTAAAAGCAAATAGCAAAAGAAACTGCGAAAGTGCAAGCTGCCCCTCCAAAACGCCTGATTGGCTTCGCTTTGGAATCGATCGTAACTTCCCGACTGCGGGTGCAGTGAAGACCGTGCCGCGTGTGGCGTCCCGTGCGCGACATGTGCACGCTACTCCCTGCACTGTGGGTCCTTTGTCCCACGACCTTGTACCAAAGCTGAAGTATGCCCAGTTCCTTCTCAACTCTTCTTCTAGCACATTTTGGTCTGGTGGAAGCTTCAAAGGAATATTCAGCTAGCTATAAGTTTGCACGGTTTGCTGCGGATGTTTCAGAAGGGTTGGGTTTGGAATCACGCCAACCCGTTTCCACCAGTTGTTAAAGCGTTTTAGCGTCAAGGCGGTATCTTATCTTCCGTATCAGTTTTTTCCGCCAATCGTTGTCGCCTGCGGGCTTCAATTGCTGGTGAAGATCGAGCGGGCGGCGTGCCAAACCCCGCCTCCTTGACACGCCCGTCATCAGCAGCGAACAAGACTGCACAGGGCACCTTGTTAAGACTTGTAAATTCTTATGACTAGCTCGCAGCCTCTCTCAGCTTTACAGAAGTTCGCATGTCTCACTTATGTGAAACTTGAAATTTAACATAAACTAACTAAAGGAACTAGCGAAGGTGCAAAATGCCCCCCTTTGAGCCAAACAGCGCCTAGCTTTCTATGAAGCAAGCTCACCTTTTTGAAATATTGGTAATGCCGGAACTATCCCTCCATATTTATAACCATAATAGAGAAGCTGCGGTAAATTACCAATGAGCAGTATAGGATATGGTCCTGGAAATTGAATATTAACATTGTTGACGAGCGCATAAAGAATTTTTTGTTTCCTTGTTCCTGAGTCTTTTTTTAATTTATTTCTAGGATTTGAGATCTGTAACTGAGTTACAATGTTTTCACAGTGATAAAGATTGGATTTGAACCTGTACTTCATCAGAAAGAGAGAAATTCTAGCTCTGTGGCCGTGCTGAGCTTGGCGCTGTTCGGGGGGGGGGGGGGGGGGTGGGAGCTCGTGGGGTTCGATTGCAATCAAATGCTTTGCGGTTTCTTTCCTTGAAAAATGACGTATCACCGGCGCACAGACGTGACGTACAGTCCTTCGCAGCGGATGCTCGGGCGTGTGGGAGCTGGGTTTGACCAAAGCATCGTCAGTTCGTTCTCCACCAATTGGTGAAGCGGGCAAGCGAGTCGGGGTAAGTGAGGAGTTGGTGAAAGACGGGCTGGCGCTGCGCCAAACCCGCCCCCCTCTCCGCAGCGAATAAGACTGCATCATAGCGCTCACATCACCGCAAAGATTGTGCACAGATGCAACCTACTCTCCCTCTCCCCCTCCTTCAAGTGCAACAGCGCCGGGAATTTTGTGATATGAATTTTGAATTTTGTGGTATGGAGAACCCTATGCAGAATGGCCTGTTAGGCACAGGTCGGCCTCGTTAGGAGACTCTCATCGGAGGCGGTCATACTTCATCGGTTTGGAGGGGGAACTCGGCCCTTTGGGAAAGTTTCCCGAGCTGTGAACGAACAGTTAAGGTTGCTGCTTTTTCCATTTCGTACGCGTTTTGTATCCTGCTGGTTGGCGCAGCCGCATACTATTATCTAGCCAGATTCCGGTTTTCCTTTTTTTCTCTCTCCCTCCCGGCTTCACGCCACTTTTCTTTGGAAAAATGGACTGAGAAAATCCTGGAAAGTTGCTGGAGACCGGGAAGAATATGTTGAGGTGATAGATAGGTTGAGGGAGAAAGTTTGTACTGGCAAAGGACTTTTCGAGACGTACTGACACCGCCATTTCTCCAAAGGTGTAGAGGTGGAAACCACCGAGTCGCTATGCCTTTTAGGAGAGGTCCGAAAAGATTGGAAGGGAGGGAAGATGAGGAGTGTGAGATGCGAGGTCCGGCTCTGTCTCTACCACGGGTGTGGAATATGTCTGCAAGTCGACCTCCAAGCAATGAACGAAATTGTCGAGAAGGTAGGGCTCACCTGGAGGTAACTGCGTAGTTTTTCTCCACTGATTAGATAAGAAATAAATCAAAATTGCTACCAGTACGGCTGTGATCAGCATTCCCGTCCTTGGTTTTCACCGCAGCGGTCGGCCAACGACTGAAAACTAACTGATTATTTCACAAGTGAAAAGAAGGGAAATATCGTTGGGTTGAGAATAGAAAAAAAATTATGGCTACACGAGCTAAAATTATGCCTTCCGCCCTCAAGGTTGATCTGTGAAAAAAATCGTTCAGTCCAGTGATATAGAGAAAATACAGCGTCAACGACATTAACTGGAACCGCACCCCATACCCCAATTATTAGGAGGGCGTGGAACGTGACGGTGGCTACGCTTTCACCGAGGCATAGCCGTTTTAGGATATTTGTAAGCATGTCTTGCTTGAAGCAAAAGAGGATGGAAGCCATCTTAGATAACTGTCGCTCGGAGACTGGACTCTACACCTTCTCGTATAAATAATGTACACAGTCACGCCCCATTTACCTTTGAGATATGGAGTCTATAAAATTGTAAGTTTATTCCTAAAGGTCACTTGTTGCAAAAGACCTGCTAAACGGATATTAAATATAGAGCACTGGCAAAGGTCTTCGCTACTGCATTTGCCATATCTTTGAGAGGCGATGGGCGTGGCCATGTACTTCATTCGAACGTGGCAGCGGCTGCACCTTTAGTGGGTATCTTTTTGGGATATTTGTAATCATGCCGCTGTCTACCTCAGGAGGGACGACAGCACTCTTAAATAGAAATATCGAAGGAAAAACGTATCTGAAACTGAAAAGGAGGAACGTGGCCACGCCCTCCCCATCTCCGCTTTATGGAGCGTACCTTATAAGGCAACCTTGTCGAATTTGTCACCAACGCCATCCACATACAGAGCTGTAGAAGGCTAGCCTTTTGCGTGACTTATTCGGTGGTTATCGCTGCAAAAGAGTCGTGATCCCCGCAGACAATAGGGCGTTTGACGCGGCACAATGCATTTTATACATATTGCTACGGTAACCCTTGGAGCGCAGCCGGGGTGGACTTACCCTTATTGCGCTCCAAGCATGCCTTCCTACCCCTATCAATTGCAGGGATTACGACTGCACGTATCTAACCCTTCTCTCCCGTCCGAACTTGCCTCCCCCCCCCGCTTCGGCGGTTCCTCCCGTCGATACATATCAAAACTGTTGTCCAAAACTCTTCCCTCCCAATTCTGCAGATTCGCAAGCTGTGAACTTTGCCAATCAAACTTCTGAGTGGATTACAGCTGAGGGTTGCCATATGTCCCCGCGAGTTGTATCGCGTCTTATTTTATGCTTCAGAAGTGGTCCCATTCTTGCTGAATAAAGCGCTCGAGCGATGAATGCAAAAGCTTTCACGAAGCGCTTTAACGGTCTCATTTGACAAAAATAGAATTTTCACTCAAAATTCTCATGATTACATTTACATTCAACTGGATATATTGTGTCGATCTATTATAAAAATTTTATTATTCCCTTTGAAAAAGCATTACAATGCATATTTTTGCAGTAACCCTTGAATTTTTGTCGGTATAAAAGGGCCGTCAAAAAGTGACCAAACAGTTGTGCTTTTAATCGTTCTCCACCCCTTCGTAGCTCGAATCTCTCTTCAAATCTTCTGCCAATCCAAAGAGCTGTTGGCGCGCTAGTTACATAAAGTGGGGCATTTTGGTGGGACCGATTGGGACATCGCAAATATTTTTTCTTTTATTATCAGGGCCAAGAAGGATTACCTGCCTATCCCTAGGCGGAATGAAGCTTCGATGTAAAGTGTGTATGTGTGTGTATGTGTGTGTATGT